ATAACCAAGACATGTGCCATTTCTACCCTGAAATTTCTAGCCTATTGAGACTTTTATAACCAAGACACGTGCCATTTCAACCTTGAAATTTCTAGCCTATTTGAGACTTTTATAACCAAGACACATGGGCCATTTCAACCCTGAAATTTCTAGCCTATTTGAGACTTTTATAACCAAGACACGTGCCATTTCTACCCTGAAATTCCTAGCCTATTTGAGACTTTTATAACCAAGACACGTGTGCCATTTTTACTCTGAAGTTCCTAGTCTATTTGAAACTTTAATCACCAAAACATGTGTGTCATTTCTACTGTAAAGTTTTTAATATATTACACTATAACTAAAGAACATGCAACAATTTTGCCTAAGTTTAAATATATAGTATATTGAAAACCACTTTGTAAACAAGGCACATGTGCCATCTCTACCCAGAGGTGATTAGTCTAATTGGAAACTACTCTCTAACCAAGACACGTGTACCATTTCTACCCTGAGATTCCTAGTATATATTGATATCTAAGCAACTAGGCACATGCACTTTTTCTACCTGAGGGTTTGAGTCAGTCTTGAATACTCTTCTGTAACAAAGGCTGGTGTGCCACTCCTACCCTTTGGGCCAGGGTGTATTGGAAATTGACTGAAAGACGCATCAGGTAACAGCAGTAGGTCAGGCACACATAGAAACGGGCACGTGATACCAGAAATAACCACATTTCTTATCATTTCTCTGTTAGTACTCGAGTGTTTTAAAAGAAATACATGGTCATTGATTTTGGTATTTTATATTTGACTTACGTAATCCACTTTCTATTTACATATGATGATATAATTATTTTGTTATATTTATAATTTGTTCCTTATGGCATCTTTCTGCTTTATCTACCTTGTCAACTTTAAAATCATGATTTCCATAACAGGGTCTCCTGAAAGCTACCCAGTTCTCTGTGCTATTAATAATGTAAGCCCAATAAGGTTCTGATGAGGTGCTTACAGGCTGTTACTCCTTTAGATATAATTCTTTCATCCCAGTTACCAGTGATACGGTTCCATCCAGTCTTGCTCTGCTGTGTCCTGTAACTCTTTTTTAATTCCAATAACAAGTACTTTGAAATTTCTAACCCCTAAGGGGCCAAACAGCACCAAAACCAAGTGTTTGTGTGCATGTTTGTGTGTGTGTGTGTGTGTGTGTGTGTGTGCACACATTCGCAACCCAGAATAAGTTGCCCATACGACCCTGACTGTTCCATCATTCTATATTTTTATGCATAGAATGGTTCCTAAAGGGAATTATATATATATATATGAGTGTAAAGCTGGCCAGCATTGTGCCTAAACCTTGGGCATGTATTGCTCTGTATTTGTTTATTTTCCTCATCATTGTATTATTCCTTCACTGCTTGTAACCTAACTTTTTTTTTCTAGCTTTTTTTCAGTAAAAGAAGATGACTTTCGCAGGCTGTGCCATTTATTATGTAAATCAGGGATATATTTTATAAAGGTTTTGTAAGATTGGCATTAATTTAAAATTTTTAGACAAATACTTGGTCTACTTTAGTTGGAGATGGGTTCATTACAGGACAATGGTCATGGCGTCAGAATGGCCTGAACGGAACATATTCTTCAGAAAACATGCCCAACTAACGATATCTTTATCCAAATACACAAATTAAAAGCTCATTTTGTAAATTTTGGGCTTTAAATAACGTCCTATTTGCTCGGTCTGGGAGTTAATGAGCTACGTGGTCATGTGGTCCGATGACGACAATCGTGCCACCGGCGGAGCTGTCAAACTCAGCTGCATTGTCTACCTGTAAGATGACTTTTCTGGCTTCTGATAAAAGTTTATACTCAATTAAATTTCTTATCCGAGGGGTCTAAAATCTCGTGAAGCTGTGTAAAACCATTTCCCGTCTATTCAATTCTTTAACAAGCATTTTAGAATTATGCTGATCCCAAGTTGTATAAAACACTGCATTTGAATGACTTAAGGGTACTGTTGATTATTCCATATGAGGTCCATGTTATTTGTGAAATTCAATTTATTTTATTAAACCGCTGACACCCCGTCTTGCATACTTTTATTAAACTGAGGTAAACAATGCCTGTTACCTTTACAAGTCCTATCTTAATCATCCATCTAACTGGAACTTCCTTTGTCTTGTCTTTCGAGTATAGAACGCACTCTGTCTGGCGATATTTATCTCAGGTAAAAATCTACCTGTGTGTTAGTTTCAAAGAGCAGCTCCCGCAGACCTGGGGGTACTAGATAAAATCTGAACACCAGGTTTATTGAGGAGCTAGAGAAACAAAGGAAGAATTTTTTTCCTGCAGAGCTTCATAGGAGTCTTAACACGGACTTGATCCAGCTTAGACCTCCAACTAACAGGGTAACATGGGCAATTTTCACAAACAAATGATAAAACTATATTTCATTTAGCCTTCTTTTAAATAAATATACCGTTATGAGTAAATTAGAATATCTATTAAATCGCGAGAATATTTTTGACTTAAATGATGATGTTATTATTAATGGAAATTAATAAAGCTACTGTATGTGGTTCATTTGCTGTGATTACGCTGCCCTTCATGTTTTGTGTTAGTCTACATTTTGCTGTACGTGCTCGGAATTTTAAAAAATCTGTGCGTATAATTTTTGCAGGTCTGGTTACGCCCCTGTTATGTGATGAAAGTTTAAATATGGCAATTTGTTCCTTTGCTTATTTAAATAGAATTGCAGTGTAAAATTTTCAACAAGATGTTGGTGCAATAGCCCTTCACTCTTTGTGGATATTTCCCCCGTCAAAGTTTAAAATTATCTTTCAATCTTTACTCTTTCAAGGGCAGTATAAAGTTATCTGACATATTTTCGTGAAAACTAAATGACAAGCCAAGTGTCTCAAGTGTTTTCATTAATATTCCCCTCTTTTTTCTGTTTTTCCTCAACACGTTTTCTTCCACGGAAGAAATGCCTGGGCATACACATGCTTCAAGATACCCTGAGAGCAATTACTTTTATTAATGTTCGTGACCGTGTTTGAACTCAATTGTTAAAAATATTGATATTTAACGTCATTTACCAATACCAATAATATTACCCCATGAAATAAATGAGATATATTGAAAAATATGAAAGCCCACCAAGACGAGTTTGATACCTGTTATTACCTGGCTTGGGAAGTGCAGCGGTGCATAATTAACAGGTTTTATTTTTAACAAGCTCTTGGTCAACTACAATGCATTTAAAATGCATCAGCAATTAGTAAGCTTGCCAACTGATGACAGTTAATCTGAAAGACTATCAGCTTTTGATATGATCTAAACCACCTGAGGTGACCATGATCTCATCGCATCGCAACTATTGTCACCGAAGTTACTAAGTCACGGAAGACCGTCACAGACAAAGAAAAGATTGTGAACGAGTGCTGCAATTTTGGTGAATCCCAAGGCAACACACTGAGGCATAACGAAAATTGCTCAACTCCGTTCAACACAACTTTCCTAAACTTCTCTGTCTGTATGCACTTCAGCTCAGTTGAGTCTTATAAATATATGTAGACCTTTATCCTCATTGTCGTCACAGTACCACGTGACCCAGATCTGTTGCTTCATTTATGCATATTGAGGTGAGGTTTACTAAAACGCTTTTTGTCTACTAATAGATTGTTTTTATAATTTTTAAATGGCGGGGATTGATTAAAACATAACTGTAGTGTATAGATTAAGTGCTGGATCTTCAGAATTCGAGAAATGGATTTTTATATGACTATTGTCCTTTAAGTACATTTGAATAAGAGAAAATATTGGTAAGAAGTATATAAGGCATGTCTTTCTGGACAACTACTGGACAAAGATTGGTCAAATTAGCCCAAAAATGTTGGCATAAAAGCTGAAAACATCCGGCTTGATTCATTATTTAATCCTTTAAGGGAAATAATGAAGTTAGCAGCAGGTAAGACGGATTGTACTAGCTGTGGGAATGGCACAATCTTGTCTCAACAATAGTGGAAGCCTAGATTGTGATAGGTGTGACACCGGGCAGGACTTGCCTCATTCTTGTTGTCACTTTAAACCATTAGTTGAGCTGAGGATTACACCCCATTTCCATAGATTTTTAGATCGATCTATCCCTGTGGGGAGTCTCACTAGATTACTGTCAGCTTGACCGGCTTAAGCGTCTGTCCCGCCTACTAAAAGCTGTATGGGGGTAATTAACTATGGTGCCCGCTCGGCTTACTGCAATTTAGCGTGAACCCCCAGGGAGTTAGGTCGATCTTAAACTTAATCTTTAGATCGATCTAAATCTCTGGGAAAGCACCCTTAGATGCAAACTTGAGCTAAAAGAAAATGTGTTTGGATGGAAAGCTGGCAAAATCTGATGTATTATGCCTGAAAACTACACAGTCTGTATAAAATGGCCCATTTCGTGTACATTATATTTTAAGTCTTAATCCACTCACCATGTTTTTTTTTTTTCATTTTGCTTTTGTATATGCCTTGTGCCCTTTTGAAACGGCCAGCTGTTATTTTTGTTGCAACATGTCTAAGTTATGTTCTGGATTATGATTTGAAAATCTTCATCAGTGCTAGAGTTCTTGTCTGTTTTTCTGTCCATTTGTTCATACAACACAACTGTTTGTCTTCCAACACAACTTTTGATTGTGCATACTTTGATCATTAGGTCTATCTAGCAGTAATTGCTGTTAATTGATAAATTTGAACAACGCTGCATTAACTACGTAAATGGGGTATGTTATCAATATATGGAATCAATATAAATCTTTTTATTTACATTGTTCACTTGTTTCTGTACTTAGACTCGGACGTGTTAATTAAAGGATACTATGGGTCATGTGACTCATGATAAGTTCTCAAGTAATTACCCAATCACAAACTACATAGATATCACACTTTCACATTGCAAATATGTCTTATTATATGCAAGTCATTTTTTTTTGCAAATTAACTTTTCTGCTTTTCTAAGAGTTGTCTGGCTGTTTCAGGACAGGGATTAAAAAGACCACAGCATGGAGTTCTGTGTTATGGACATGGGCCTCCATGGCCTGACGAGTAACATCGGGGCCCTGGTCGGGGAGGACTTCTACGAGGTGGCAGACAGTTGTGAAGGTCAGTTTGTTCTTGGTTTGTGTTTAATAATAATAATAATTATAATTATAATAATAATTATTAATAATTTATTCAGCTAAACCATTTTTTAAATATTATATTGATTCTAAGCAATTTTTTTCAGAATTTGTGTATCAGATTAATTGGATGTTTATATGGACCTCTGAAAGTTTAAACTCCATAACTCTTTGTACCTCGGTATATTAACATGCATATTGATGGCTTGCTATTTTGGCCTCTCACCTTTAGCCTATGATCTTTTACCTCCAGCCTTTGGCTGCATTTACAACCAGTTGATCCAGAGACAAACAGAACTGTGCATCAAATATGGCCTATACTCACTTGAAAGCCTGCTGCATAATCCCCTTATAGACACTGAATAGATTCCTGGTGGGGATTATGTGCCATCATTCAAGTGGGCTGGTCATATTTGGTCCACGCATCTGTAAGACTGCATTCCCACAGATGTAGATTGATCCATTTGGATCGACCTAACTCCCTGGGGGTTCATGCTAAATTGCTGTCAGCCGAGCACGTACGAAAGTTAATTCAAGTGGCTGCCCTCAAGGCCTGTTGTTTTGTTGGATCCAGTTTTTTAGGCTTTATAAGCCATAAAATGTGTAGAAAAAGAAGTTCTTTATGACAGAACATCTTAAAGTTCTTGTTATTTATTGAATAAAGGAGATCAAGGCTGAATTAATATATATATTAGTATATATATTTTATAGAAGTGCTGCATATAGGTACAGTTTTATTTTTGTACCACCAGCGTAGGCTGGTACACATGGTTTTAGTCCGACCCCCCTGTTCCGCCGGCTCCGCTGCCATGTCATCGTTACTGCTTCTCCTCCTAGACTACAAGGGCCTCCGTACCCATCTCTTGGACTTAGGTCACCTATAATCTCAACTCGTTCCACGTAAAATTTGGGCTTTGTCGGTATTGGGGTCTAGGTGTGGCACTCATTGCAATGCACCCTTGTCCAAAAATGGCATATTTAAATGCTAATTATCTACCCTATGGAAGGAATTATGGGAAAAATTTCTACAGACAGCTTTCTGAAAGTCGTGTGTAGATTTCAAATATGCCCTTGGATTTGACCTTTGACCTTTATACATTCACATCAAAATAAAAAACAAAATGCTACAAAATATATTAAACAAAATATACTGAGCAACAGGCAGAGTTACAAAATATCTGCAAACTTACATTACTCTGAGCCATATTTTAGCTCAGGAGGTGTCACTTCTCTCCATTCAGATTCATTAGCACCATTGTATGCACTAGTAGTGTATGCATTCGTATTTTCCACCGAAATATTTAGTACCTCATTAACAGAACAATAGTATGAAAAATCTAGTTCATTTATTGCCATCTGCCAGTTTTTGTATGCATCCAGGCAGTTCACAGAAAAACTCCTCGTTCACCTCCCGAAGATCATTTCTCCACTGATTTCTTCCAGAATATTCACTGCTACTATCTACTTTACTTTCAGATTCTGTCTTTGTAGTACTATTTAAAGAAACTTCGCTTAAATACTTGCTGTTCGACTCGTTTACATTCATAAATATTGAAAATTCAGAGTTAGGGCTGTTGTCAAAAATTCTGGGTTTCCTCTTGTGTGTTTTCCTTCTGAGACCCTAAAAAAGTTAAACTTATGTTTTATATTATGAATGTATATTATGAAGAAAAAAGTAAAAAATGGAAACCATACCAATAGTTCAAGTGTTACAAGGTGTAGGGTGCACATGGACTGGAGAGGAAGAGCAAATGTTAAGACTCAGGATGGAATTTGACCTTTTTTTGCCTTCCTAATTAAAATTAATCTCTCTAATTTTGCTTTGACATTTAGTTGCAACATGTTACAGTTGACATTTACATACGAAATGCCAACTGCCTCATAAATAAGCCCCAGTACACATGTTCTTAAAAAGGTTTGAAGCACTCATGATAGATTGCAGAAGTGAGTAACACAACCACTGACTAGATTATGTCAACGGGTAGCCATCACACTTCCCCACATTGTAAAGAATAGCTCATCCTTAGGGACCACATTCCCCTGATAACTGTGATTGTCACAGTGCTGGGTCCTCTATGTAGAGTTATTGAAACAATCTTTATAAAAACAGCATTAAAAATTATGAATGGAAAATGCTTGATGTAAAAAAAAGTCATCCATCCCCGACCCCCATGTACACATTAATTATGACTAGCTCATGAACATCCCTGATGATAGGTCTGTCAATTCTGGAAGTTTGAATTACTGTACTCTTATGGTCTAGGAAGTGTTAGGAGAAATCAAAATGCTAAAACAATTTAGAATCACCCACCCCCAGGGACAACTCAACCCCCCAGCACCCTAAAATTCCAAAGTGCCCATGTACATCCCTGATGACATGTCTATCAATTCAGGAAGTTTCTCCTTCTCAATATCTTATAATGGTCAAGGAGGAGATAGCAAAAATTATTTTAAAACCAACAACACTTTCAGGCTTGCAGAGTTTATTTAAGAAAATGAATAAACGACTAACTACAGGGCTCAACATTAACTTTTTTGGCCACTTACCCTGGGGGGCAAGTGGCAAAAATTTTCACTTGCCCCCTCAGATTCTTACTTGCCCTCCTTTTCAACGGGAATTTCAGGCTTTTGATCAATGTTAAATGAATTCAGTTATCTAACCATTTTCATGTTGTTGTTTGTCACAGTTGCATTCAGTGACTTCAGTTCATATTATTAAAAGTCAAACTGTGGATAATGAATACTTTATTACAATGTACAACAGCATGATCCTACATCATCGTGAAATATTAAATTTTTTTGCAGCTGAAACTAAATGCTAAAAAATATATCAATAAAATATGAATGAAATCATTCAATGACACTCACTTCAAGAATTGCTAATATTCATCATTCTTTGCACATTATACACTAGTAAACAATGAAGAAAATGTACACCAGACAAGAAATAAACATGCAATTACTAGATATTAGGATTTTTTGCAGGTGAAATTATATGATATAAAATTATATAAAATTATATTCTATTATATCAATAGAATGTGAATGAAATCATTCAATGACATTCATTTCAAAAATTGCTAATATTCATCATTCATTGCAAATCATACACTACATATTACACTAAAAGTAAACAATGAAAAAAAATATACACCAGACTAGAAATAACCACATTCATTTCAAGCTAAATATGAGTCTCTTTATCTGACACTGTAACTACTCATTAGCAATGAGGTAGTTGGGCAGGGCATCTCTATTCTCAGCTTGGGGAGCAGCAAACTGTCAATGGGGCCTTGGCCACCGACCACACTCACAGCAGCATTGGCAGCAAGCAAATGCTTGGGATACTCGAAGTGAACCTGAAAACACAGGATATTTATTCAATTATTTAATATTACTATATTAAATTGAAATTCGTTGATGTAGGATTGTAGCAATGTTACTAGTACTTAACTAAATAAATATGCACTGCACTCAACACCCTCCCCCCCCTCCCCCCCCAAAGGACCACGTTTTCGGTAGTTGTGTGTCAGGCTAGTTTATAACATGAGTTATGATTTAATAGTCCCTAGTAGAGGAGGGGGGTTCTAGTCAACTTAAAATAGTGAAAATCAAGGGATTAGATCTACCTATAAATTGTAAAATGAATGAATGTTTTTCATTATTTCCTATATCAGAGCAAATATCCTGAATAAAGTCTTCTTTTTTTAGCGAATCTTTGAAATTATTTCTGTCATGACCGCAAAAATAAGAAAATAGTGTTCCTTGCTTTTTCGACGTCCTTGCCGCGTCTGCTCTGCAGCCATGCGCCATGCATGCAGTAGTAATGTATAATCACTTTACACCGATACTACCGGAAGTGAATTCCTAGTGCGTCTTACATAGACTGGATATCAAAGAGGAAGAAGCGCCGGTAGCGAGAGCGCCTGCTCCCTTAGCGCGTCTTCCTCGCTAGCTGCCAAAGCTCGAACTGCCAAGTTTAAAAAGACTCATGTGGCTGTTGTCGGCTAACAGCCTTAAATTTGATAGGCTCCCACGCGACTATTCTGATGTTGAGCCACGTCCCATGATGGGGACCGCGAGTGGCGCGCCCTCCAGTGGTGGTTTTAAATAACTTTCCGTTAAACGAAAAGAGTACTTAAAACCAACAACACTTTCGGGCTTGCAGAGTTTATTTAAGAAATAAATAAACGACAATTGGAATATATATAGAATATAGATTCTTTTAAAGGAAAAAGGTTGACACAATAGAAAATAACTGTATATAAAAACCTACTGATGATGAAACGACTATACCCCAACCCAAAGTAGTTATAAACTAAAGTCTGAAACAGTTTATTACGGGTAGTTACCCGGAACGGCCTAAGTTTGTTTGATGGCCTTGTGCATAGTGTCATATTTCATATCAGGGGTGGGCTTAATATATTCAAAAACAGCGTCAACATACAGATGCATGGGCTCGTAGAATGTTATCCCGCCTATCCCTACATCCCTTAAGCTTCTGACCCGCCTACTAAAAGCTGTAAGGGGGTAATTAACTACCGTGCGCGCTCGGCTGACAGCAATTTAGCGTTAACCCCCAGGGAGTTAGGTCGATCTAGATGGATCTAGATGGATCTAACTAAATCTTTGGGAATGCAGTCTTAGATTTGGAAGCAGTAAAAGAAAGCTAAAGCAGTATATCCTGACCTTGATTAAAAATTCATCCGAGATTCACTTGGTTATGCTTTGCAGGGAGCCATTGTTGTTTTCTGACTGAAGATTTAATATGAATTGATAGATGTCGCTACTTCATGAAATGAAATGATGATATCAGTATTTTATTTGTATGGAAGTCAAATGTATAATAAGAACATGAATAATTAAGATGTCATACGTCATAAAGAAGGAAATTATAATTATGCTTCTTGAAAATGAAAATTAAAAATTTTTTATTCATTTTATGGAAATGTTATATTTCTAAACCTAACTTTATAGGCCTCA